TATATATATATATATATATATTTCTACAAACAACTTCAGTAAGGAAGTGTTTCAGCAGTGTTCAGTCTCCTATCAAACACCTCAGTAGTAGTGCCATTTTAGCTTCGAGCAGTTTTCACAGAATTGCGCACAATATTGCTCACCAGGGTGGCGTGCTCAAAGCAGCAACGATCGTTTTCAACTCACATGTTTATGTAATGATTTGGGGGTGTTGTTACTGCTCTTTTGTAGTTTTTTGTTAAATTTRTCGTGCTCTGTAAAGATCTCTGCTGTTGTTCTCCACTTTGATTTTGTTGTCGTCCCCTTACACAACACACTTCAGCATTCTAATTGTCACACCTGTCGTTTGTTGTTCCTTACCTGTACTCTCCTGGGTTTCATTTGTTCTTTGACAGACCTGTGCCTTTTGTTTACAGTATGTTCTTTTTCACTTCTGGCTTCCAGTCCTTGTCACCCATAGATATCTAACTGGGGATTTGTGGACTTTCTGTCTTAAAGCACAGCTGGGTTTTGTTTAAAAAATTGAAAATTTCTCTCACTTACCAGCCTCTGGTGCCTTGAAATCATTAGAATCCTTTAGAACATGCCAGCACATGACAGTTTACCAAGTGTAAGGTTGTCATGGGGGTATAAAACTGACAGTAACAACTCTGAGACCAAAAGAGACAAGGCTGATCAATTTTACCTGTCTAAAAGACAGCAGGCAGCTCACTTTCTCTCCTGCTGTGAGAAGATATCCACAGTCCTTTCAAAAATGATAAACTAGCCTAATTGTCTTTGAAAGTTGTGCTTATCAAAAGTCTYCAGGATGCCAGTGTGATGGCATGTTGCTAACAGGCTTCTCTCTTTGGAGGTGTTAGCAGTTGCTAGACGACCTCAGGTCAGCGTTTGTAAAAAGGGACGTAGCCGTGTTTCAAATGGAAATGTATTTGGTTCATTTTCAGCGAGCTGTTCGCCTTTACAAAACAGAGAAAAGGAGAAGCGGGGGAAAACAAACAGTTTGCCTTATTGCACTTTCACGCATATTTTAGTCACCTCATAAACAAAATTGCAYGTGATAAAGTCACAGCTGGAAAGGAGGAGACTGATTTTACTGGACTGTGAGAGAGCAACACCTGCAGTTTCTGCATGACGCATGCCCATTATTTAAATATTTTATTAATTTATGTCTATACATGCAGCTCAAAGGACTTTATTCAAGGCCCACTGTGCAGCAAATCTCCTTCATTTAGTGTTTTCAGAGCAGACATAAGATCCTTTCAACTCCTGAAGTAACAGAACATTGGGTTTCTGTTGCTCTGTAGTGTTTTCAGTTTTTTCCTTCAATAYCATTACTTGGTAATTTCTAGTAAAATATGAATTTTAAGGAGAATACAGTAAATGAGATCTGAAAATACTAACATATAGGCCATAAAACTACATAGCCCTTTTCGGACTGGTTCTACCTGATGTCCCAAAAAATGCGGAATGACAAAGTTTACTCTCATTTTACTTGTACAATGAATACATTTATTTATTTATCTTTTGTTCTTCTACTTCAAGGGAAGCAACATTTGCAAGCAAAAAAGTAGTGTATGTCCTTTTTCCACTAAATAAAATTTATCCAGAGCCACCAATCAAGACCTGCTTGAAGCTTAATATAAAGAGACAAACTGGGATAACACATACAGTAGGTTTTAAATAAAAACTACCCATTTGTCACTATTTATTGGCCCTTTTGATAAAGTTTAACCACTGAAATTTGGAGGCTTATGAGGCATTAATGTGTTTGTGAAATATAAAAAATAAGTTCACCTTCTGAAATAATAAAGCATACAATTGCATCCCAATTATTTACTAAAGAAAATATTTTGGACAGTTTTTTAATAGCTAATCATGATACGCTGCATTCTCTCTAATAACAACATTTACTGTTTTTATTTATGCAAACTGCTTTATGTATTATTTTAATTCTGTCTGTTCTCAGATATATTTTGAAGGATGCCCAGTTGCACTAACTAGGTACAGAACAGTTTGTGTTTTCTCTGTCAGCAACTTGATATAAAAGTGTTATGATCTCTAATTGTCTAGTAAATTTCAGAGACTAAGCAAACTGTTCAGCTGGAAGTCAAATCACTGAAATGGGAAAACTATTAGAGTAAATGGATTAATTTGAATTTAGTTTTTTTGGATGTAATAGTATCATTCTGTTACAGAATAAATATTGACACAAAACTGGACAAGGGAACTGCTAAAACTAGCTTTTGTGGTTATGAAAATTAATATTCATTTTTATGTTGGGTTTGGTCAAGAGCCGCTCCCAACTGTCAACTGATAACTTTTCCATGTTTTTTTACTATTTTTAAAAATAACCAGTGGGGTCAAATGACCAACTTAGTCTATAAATTCCCCCTTATACCTCAGGAAAAAACTTTGAGGCCTGTATCAATGTGCTTTATGTCATAAAATCAAACTGGCTACACCTAATAAAATATTTAATTTGTGAATAAGAAAAAAAAATATAACACAAAATACAAACCAGCCTTGGAAAGAATCACCCATTTAATTTTCTTTTGTTTTATTAGAAAATATCCACACACCATAAAAATTACATGTACAAAACTATAGATTTTAAATTGCTTTATGTACACATACAAAAGATAAAGCCCCTGCCCCCTCAACAAAAGTGAGAGGAATACAAGAGGGGGGGAAAGTGAACACTATTTGTTATTTTTTTTTGGGGGAAGTGATGTGCTTATTCTGGGATTGACCAAAAGGTTTGAGGTTCTCCTTTCTTTTTCTGTTCTACCGTTCTACATATAAGTAGAGAACCAAAATGAGTTATTCTGACTCTGGGGAGCAGCAGTGAGTGCAAATACATGCACATTTAATATGAATTTGAGATAGTATTTGTGCCACAAATCCCATTTACTCTTGTTAAATGATCAGAAATATGAAAGGAAATGCCACTATAGAGAGCCCAGGATATGCTAAATGAATATCTAAAAGGTGTATATAAAGATGTAGCTGCTGAGAGACCAAATATCCCAATATCTGCATCCAGTTAATAACAAGGCTCTGTGTACGTAAATGCACTCAGTGTTGAAAATGAAGACGTAGTGTGCTTGAATGATGACAGCCTAGATGCTAAAATTCAGATTTTGAAATAATTCACGCTTAAAACGTCGATTTTCTTCACATTAAACTATTTTATGACTTGCAGAGTAGAACAATTTGTGTGAAGCGCTGCAGTGTTGGAAGGGATGACAATGTTTCAGATGAAAAAGTTGTGCTTTGTGATATCAATAATGACTGATGTGAGATGGTACCCTGCTACTTATAATTTGTTTCTGAGCGCTTCATCCGTCTTTCTCGACTTCCAGCATGTGGCTTTTCTTCTGATCACTGGGTCTGAAAAGAAAAAGAAACAAAAAAAAAAGAAGAAGAAAAATGACTTGTCACGTTTCACAATGTTCTGTCTTCATCACAAAAGACACTAATCAAAAGTTATTGGGCTTGTCTTGATGATTGAAGGAGTGTTGAAAACACAAACAAAATAGCTAAAAAAAAAAAMMAAAMMAAAAAAAAAACATTACCAAACATGTGAAGTGCTAAAAAAGATTATGATGCTTGTTATTTGAAAAGTTCAGACATGAGTCATTTTTTACCAACACACACAGCTCGTACAGTGTCATTCTCAGGAGAACAAACAAACAACTCGAAAACATATCGTTTATCAAAATACCACTGATGCTTTCCATGTTTCAGGCAAAATGGCTGAAGTATGCTTGTGGATTACTTTTTCAAAACAGGCTAAATAAAAMAATCTGATTTTCATTTCAACTAGTTTTGGCAATGAAGGGATAGTCTTGTATGATATTCCACCAGTCCAGGACTGATATGCTGATCACCTGAATACATTTACATCCTCAATGCATTGGCACATATACCTGTGCTTGGCCCACATACAATCATGTAGTAACAAACATATTTTCATAAAACAGCTGCAAATGAAACTATTTTTTCTACTGCTTATCCCTCTCCAAAACAACACTTTCCACCGTTTCCTGGGGGATCCTGAGGTGTTTCCAGGCCAAAGAGGATACATAATTCCTTCAGTAAGTCCTGGGTCTTCCCTGGGTCTCCCACCAGTGGGAYRTRCCTGGAACACCTTTAAARGCAGGTGTTTTGGAGACAACCTAATCAGATGCCTAAACCACCTTAATGGACTCATTTCAATGTGGAGGAGCAGCAGCTCTACTTCAGGTTCCTCCCAGATGACAGAYATCCTCACCCTATATCTAAAGCAGAGCTCGGCCACCCCATGAAGAAGTTAATTTTGCTTATGTTCAGACTAACCTTAACAATATATTGTGCCCAAGCACACTCACAAAACTCTAAAGACTAACAGACAAAGGCTGTAAATACCATCATTCAAATGGCTATAAAAATGGATAAATCCTCAGACACGTTACCCGCTGACCTTCAGTGATTCAGTGTGGAAGTSGAAAGTAAGAAGGGAATAAGCAAAYTGTGCCAAATGTAAATTCYAAAAACAGACAAGGCCCTATCTTTTTAAAACAATTACAATGCTTTTATTTCCATGACCTAGTAATATTAACCAATTAACTCCTCAATGAGTCATAAAAAGAAAGGCATTTCAGTTGTTTTAAAAAAATTGAGTACAGATGTCTTTTTGACTTTTAAGTTTATGTCTATCCCAGCCAAACGGCAACTGATTTTACCCACTGTCCTTCTTGTTAACCTTGGAACCCATTTCTTACGTCTGGCCCCAGTAGTRCTGTAATGTGAACATTCAGAAATGATTAACTGTCACCCTGTAGGAGGCCCTCTCGGGAAAAGCCTGGACCCATTCACAAAGCCAGCAGTGACTGGCTGACAGGGGGAGAGTATTGTTAGCTCTGCTGTTATTGGTTACAAAAGAAAATGGCACAAGAGACAATTAGAAATTCTTGCAGACAAGTGATTAAAGAGGGGGTAGGAGGGCAGGGACACTGCAGGGGAACACGGTAAGATTTTAAATTAACATTGTAAATATGACAAAAACAATTAGCCTGTTAATTAAGGGTGTTTTATCATTACATGTTCTCAGAGAGTTTTACATTTGAACATTTACATAAACTTAAACTAAATGTTTTGAATGGAATGTTCAACATGTACATTTGTCAACATATACCTTAAAAACTGAGTTCTCACCAAGTTTGGTGTCTGATTTTACAAGTTAAAAAGTGTTTCATATCCATTCATTCATTTTGCTTTACAGATTTTTCCAGATCGTAGGTAGCTGGTCAACGTGAGAGGCAAGATACATCATGGACAGGTCATAAGTCCAACTCAGGGCCACACAAAGACAAACAAGACAAACAACTACACTCTCACTTAAACCAAATAGGGGTCACTGCAGTCAAGTGAGAGCTTCTTGGTTTTGGGTAAGCTGTGCACTGTAAAAAAATAACTTGTAAGATTTACAAGAGAAAATCCTGTAAACTATTTGCACTAGTAAATTTAAATGCTACAAATTCATGTAATATTTACACTCATCATTATCTAGTAAAAGTTATTAAGAATATAGTTAAAGATTTGTGAATAAATCCGGTAAAATTGACTTAATTTGCTCAATTATATCTCAAATTAAGTAAAATTTACCTGATTTATTCACAAATCTTTAACTATATTCTTAATAACTTTTACTAGATAATGATGAGTAAATATTACATGAACATTTCAATTTAATTAAACATCAATACAAATTGTTAAAAGGATTTTTTTCTAGTAAATCTTACAAGTTCTTTATATAAGTGCAAGCACAATATTGTAACACGATACCTCACAGCTACAGAGAGAGTAAGTGTAGCTCTTGTTGTAGTTCAAGTCAGCAGGGGAGAAGTGCAACAATTCAGATGTTAATTTTATGAGTATTACTTTAGTTATTACTAGAAACAGAAATGTGCTAGCCACATAAAATTTGAACACTGTAAATGTGGAGGGGTGTGTAACAATTCAGCAAAACAACCCTTAGCTGCTTTGAAAATGATCACATTTTTTTAAATATGGCTATTGATATTAATAATAACTCCAGACAGGAAGGGACTAGTCTCACCAAATTTGAAGTAAGCAATAAATTATTTGTACATGTTTGCAATAATTTTACTATTATCATTACTTTGTCTTTTAAGTTCCCCCACATCAATCCAACCAATCACTGTTTGCCCAAACTACACCCACACCCAAGAAACTCCCACTGACTTGCAGAGAAACCCTTCTCAACTAAATCTGGGAACATTTTAGATTTACCAATTAACCTAACCTGCAGGCTTTCTGGTCTGTGGGAGGAAATCAAAGTACTGAGAGAAAACCCTAATCTAACCCCATGTGCCACCATGTTGCCCCAAAACGAGTAGGAGGATAAAAACAGCTGTGCTGATTTCTGTGAAAGTGCTTATGGTATTGTCTGTTTTGCTTCATTATTTTCGAACCAGCTACATAGAGTCACCACTTTTTTCGCCCTTCATTTGTGTCCTGATGACGCACCATACATCAAACAGTTCCAGTTCTGTCTTTTTGATGAGACACAAGCAAAGCTTTTGTGCAGAAGCATAGAAAGAGACAGATTATCTACTGTTTCAAGTAATGCTGAGCACTAAATTTTCAGCATTCAATTATAGATTGTCTTTCTCCAGCTATTAACGCTGGTCTAACTTTCTCTCTCTCTACACAAGTACACACACACACACACACACTTTTACAAGTCTGTGTATCAGTAATTGCCAGTCAGTCACTTTCTATAATATTTGATTTTTACATGGTTGTAAACATAATCAGTGTTTTCTCACTTGAATCACAGGCTCCTGCTGACAATTAATGATTATTTAACTGTTTATAACCAAATCACTCAAGCATGACAGTGTGTAACTGAGTTTAGTAAAAAAAAAAAAGGATTACCCCCTTTAATGTGACAATGTGGAAGAAGTGACCAAATTAAATGTGCACGTCTGATGAATTTAGCAGAAAATATACAGTATATTTTCACTTAATGGCTTTAAGATAATAGGCTACATGTTGCGCACTGCAAAATGTTAGCTGCATCTTAATAATGTTTGGCTATAAGATAAAGAATTACCAGAGCTGCGTCAGACATTAATCTTTTTTAGGGTAATGGTATTTTAAAACAAATATTGGCTAAAATTTCTAAGAGCTACCATGTGTATCAGTAAAATAAATGGCCTATTCCGGAATTGCTATGTGGCTTATTAACTAGCTCTTAGCAGCTTCAACAACTAACAAAAATAACAACAAAATAAATCAATAAATAAAGGAATATTATGCATAATAAACACATTTGCTTATGGTGTCTGTAATTTATTTTGCTTAGGTTTACCCACTTTATGTACATCAGGTTAAAATAAAAATCACAATGTGTTTTATAATGAAACAGCTAGCTCTCTGTTGTTTAAATTTATATTGATTATACGTTTAGTATCATTACATGTGATAAAATATGAATAGTTGACAATTTTAAAATCAGTGTCATGAATAATTTGAAAACGCTGACATTGATTTTAACCCTGTCCTCCCACTCTTGCTCTGTCTATTAAAAATTAATGGTCTATGAATGAAAACTTGTCAAATACTGTTATATACATCCTTTAATCAATATTGCAGCAATGTGTGGTATTGATGAAGGAGTAGATGGATTTCTGTTTAGAAGAAGTGAAATTGTGATACGTTTTCAATTTTACTCAATATTAAGGTCATAACACCATTATAATATCATACCAGCTTTTGTCTTTTATAGTACATTAGTCCTAAAATACATTGTGGAACAACTGAATTAGCTCTGTGCTTTTTCCTATATTTGATTTGGCCCTTTGTCATTTTAAAATTAAAGAAAAAAAAGCAACATGGCCTATCTGATAATAAATAAATAAAAAAACACTATAATTGCTTAAATTTCACATACCCGGTAAATATTTTTACAGATATCATTGTCCACGTTAAGAGTAAGTATTTAACATCATTGCAGAATGAGGACATTTTGCTATCACAATGCAAAATTCTACTAAAACTAACTAATAAATATGTTTGTATATAAACTCAACATAAAAGTAGTTTTATATGACCAAAGCACTAGAGCTGAATGCCAACCTTGAATACTGGAAGTAGCTATAAATGTTATTGGGTACACAGTGTCCGATTTTACTTATTTGTTACTGTTAAAGGGTCAAAAGATGGCTAGATGACTTGAATATGTGTGTAATTCTTGTGCAGTATCATGAGATTATGTTGGTTTGATGCAAGCAAAAAGCAACCGTTGAATAAATTGTTCTATTTTCTCTTCAATGCCAGAAAACATGCCCATGAAATAGTGTGTCATTCCCACACATTGCAAA